AAAATTCACAATCTTGGGATAGATTTCTTAGTACACAAAAAGCACCATTCTTAAATTAAAAAAAAAAAAAAAACTCTGTTAAGTTGAACTTCATCAAAATTGAAAATTTCTGCTTTTCAAAGACATGGGCGAGAAAAGGAAAAGGCAAATGACATACTGGGAGAGAATATTCATAACATTCTCATTTGTCATTTGGCAAAGACAAAGGATGTGTGTCCCAACTATATGAAGAACTCTTGCAACTCAATAATAACAAATAAAACAATATTTCTTTTTTTGAGTCAGGATCTCACTGTGTCACGCAGGCTGGAGTGCAGTGGCAGGATCACAATGATCACGGTTACGGCAGCCTCTATCTCCTGGGCTCAAGCGATCCTTCCATCTCAGCCTCCCTAGCTGGGACGATAGGTGTGTGCTACCACATTTGGCTAATTTTTTCATTTTTTGTAGAGACGGAAGTCATGGCACATTGCTCAGGCTGATCTCGAACTCCTTGCCTCAAGTGATCCTCCTGCCTCAGCCTCCCAAAGTACTGGGATTACAGGCATGAGGCACTGTGCCCAGCCTTAAAGTTCATTTTAATATAAAAGTAGTTCAGTGTTCTTGCAGACCTTTTTGTTGATTTTGGTTTTTGGTAAGGGATACAACAAAAAGTTTAACTTAATGGCTTTCAAATATATTTAACTATGCATACAACATACCTAAGTAATACACCTGGAATCTTTTTTTTTTTTGAGTTGGAGTCTCACTCTGTCGCCCAGACTGGAGTGCAATGGCTGCTCCCGGTCACCGCAGCCTTGACCTGCTGGGCTCCGGCGATCCTTCCACCTCAGCCTTCCGAGTAGCCGGAATTACAGGCGCGCGCTACCATGCCCAGCTGATTTTTTGATTTATTGTAGAGATAAGGTCTTGCTGCCCAGGCGGGTCTCGAACCTGCGGGCTCAGGCAATCCACTCACCTCAACCTCCCAAAGGCACGGGATTACAGGCTAAGCCACTGAGCCCGGCTTATACCTGGAATCTTAAACTATCAGTTCCAAGTTCTTCTTTCACAGATTAGGAAATTGGGACCCAAGAATCCTGATTTCAAGCCCAGTGTTTCTTTTTATTACTTATGTTGAATGCCTATAATCCCAGTACTTTGGGAGGCAGAGGTGAGAGGATTGCCTGAGCCCAGGAGTTCAACACCAGCCTGGACAACATGGTGAGATTTCAACTCTACAATAAGTCAAAAAAACTAGCTGGGTGTGGTGGTACATGCCTGTAGTTCCAGCTACTTGGAAGACTGAGGCGGAAGGATCACCTGAGTCCAGCAGCTTGGGTGAGAGAGTGAGACTCTGACTCAAACAAACAAACAAACAAACTATATATATATATATATATATACACACACACACACACACACATATCTCTACAAAACAACTTATATCATTGCTATTGAAATGTTATTCTGCTCAGAAGAGCAGTTAATCAACATGTGAAATACTCTCTGAAAGAATGATAGATTTAGAAAATTACTATTTTTGCAGTTACTAATTAAATAATGGATCTAAGTAATAATTATCACTGAATACTAAAATCATTAAATGAACTTTATAAGACGTCTATAGTCTGGGCTTGGTGGCTCTATAATATGAGAGCCAGGGTGACAAACTCCTGAACATACCAATCAGCTTAACATCTTAAGTGGGACAACCAGATATTAAGATATTAGGACCCTCTGATACGAAGTAATAGGAAGCAGACAGTATCACCAGTGAAGAAATCATGCCAAAACAAACTAGCACAAAGCCCAAACCTCAAACGAATTCAGAGTCAAATCAAGTTGCTAGATCTAAATGCCAGTTAGGGTCGGGCACAGTGGCTCACACTTACAATCCCAAGTGCTTGGGGAGGCCAAGGCAGGAGGATTGCTTAAGTTCAGGGGTTTGAGACCAACCTGGGCCTCTCTACAAAAATTTTTTTAAAACCCTGTCTCTACAATATTTTTTTTGTTTTGAGTTGGAGTCTCATTCCATCGCCCAGGCTAGAGTGCAATGACATGCTCATGGCCACCCTAGCGTCGACCCTCTGGGCTCAGTTGATCCTTCCACCTCAGCCTTCCAAGTAGCCAGAACTAGGCATGCGCTACCACGCTTGGCTAATTTTTTGATTTATTGTAGAGATGAGGTCTCACCATGTTACCCAGGCTGGTCCCGAACCTGCGGGTTCAGGCAATCCTCTTGCCTCGGCCTCCCAAAGTACTGGGATTACAGGCTTAAGCAACCGCGCCTGGCCTACAATTTTTTTTTTTTTTTTTTGAGTTGGGGTCTCACTCGGTTACCGGCGATCCTTCTGCCTCAGCCTTCCGAGTAGCTGGAATTACAGGCATGCGCCACCACGCCCGGCTGATTTTTTGATTTATTGTAGAGATGAGGTCTTCGCTGCCCAGGCGGGTCTCGAACCCGCGGGCTCAGGCAATCCACTCACCTCAGTCTCCCAAAGGTGCGGGATTACAGGCTGAGCCACCGAGCCCGGCTCAAAATTTTTTTTAAAAAACTGTGACTCTACAGAAAAAAATTTCTTTCATTAGCCTGATGTGGTGGCACACATCTGTAGTTCTAGCTACTCAGGAAGGGAGCATTGCTGGAGCCCAGGAGTTAGAGGTTGCAGTGAGCTGTGATCACACCACTGCACTACAGTCCAGGTGACAGAGATTTGATTTGATTTGATTTTTTTGAGTTGGAGTCTCACTCTGTCGCCCAGACTGGAGTGCAGTGGCATGCTCCCGGCCACTGCAGCCATACCACTCTGAATGCGCCCGATCTCATCTGATCTCGGAAGCTAAGCATGGTAGGCCCGGATAGTACTTGGATGGGAGATTTTATTTCTTAAGAAAACAAATAAACAAACAAATTACAGTTCACAGTAATTACGGGGACAGAGAAATGTGTTAAATAACACAATGTGGATACAGAATCAGCAAAATCCAACATGTGGAAAATTCTACAGGACAAATAAATCAATGCTTCTTCCATAAATAAATAGCATTAAAAAACAAAAACTGGAGAAGAAAGAGAAGGAAGAAGAAAGGAAGAGGGAGGAAGAAAGGGGAGGAAGAGAGAAAGGAAAGAAGAGGGAGGGAGGGAAGAAAAGTGGGTTAGAGATGAACACAGACTTCAAGGGACATATCGAGCACAAAGTAAGGACCTTGGCTGGAGATTGATTTGAATAGAGTAAAAAGTCATTTTTGAGATAAGTAACATGGTCTAGTCATTAGATGATATCTAGGATTTATTGTTAATTTTGTTGGATGTGATAATGTTGTTAGGTTGTTTTTTAAAAGTCTGTATCTGTTAGAGATACATAATGAAGTATTTATGAGTGAAATGATATGATGCTGGGATTTGCTCTAAAATGTTTCAAAATTTAAAAAATAATTTTTAGCCGGGCTTGGTGGCTTAGCCTGTAATCCCACGCCTTTGGGAGGCTGAGGTGAGTGGATTGCCTGAGCCCGCGGGTTCGAGACCCGCCTGGGCAGCGAGACTTCATCTCTACAATAAATAAAAAAAAAAAAAAAAAAAAAATCAGCCGGGTGTGGTAGCGCATGCCTGTAATTCTGGCTACTTGGAAGGCTGAGGCGGAAGGATCGCCGGAGCCCAGCAGGTCGAGGTTGCGGTGGCTGGAAGCGGCCACTGCACTCCAATCTGGGCGACAGAGTGAGACTCCAACTCAAAAAAAACAAAAACAAAAAAAACAAACAAAAATTTTTTAAAGATTTAAGTAATTTCTTGGCCAGGCGTGGTGGCTCATACCTATAATCCCAGCACTTTGGGAGGCGGAGGTAAGAGGATAGCCTGAGCTCAGGGGTTCGAAACCACCCTGAGCAACATAGTGAGACCTCGTCTCTACAATAAATTTTAAAAAATTAGCTGGGTATGGTGGCGCACATCTGTGGTTTCAGTTACTTGGAAGGCTGAGGTGGAAAGATCACCTGAGCACAGCAAGGCTGTGATGGCCACTGCACTCCAGCTGGGGTGACAGAGTGAGACTCCAACTCAAAAAAAAACAACAAACAAAAAGATTTAAGAAATTTCTAATAAAAAATGCACACTGAGAATCAGATGAAAAAATGCTTTAAAAAATAAATTTAAAAAAGATTTAAGTAATTTCTAAAAAAATTAAGGAAAATACTTCAGAAGAAGACAAATATTGGGGCCATATATTTGCTAAGCTTTCGTCTGGCTATGTGGCTCTTTGAGCTACAGCCATCATGTTTTCCTAAGCTTTGGCCCCCTCCCCTACCTTGGGGAGTTGTATCTTCTCTCTCTCTCTCCAGTTTACATTCTAAATAAACTATATTTTTCAATCTAAAAAAAGAGAAAACATATATGAATGGGGAAGATAAAACAAAAATAGCAGAAAGTAGACAGTGGTTGAAGTTGAGTGATTGTATTATTCCCTCTGTTTTTGTGCAGATTTGAAATTTTCTATAATTAAAATTTTATTTTTTAAAATCCTGGCCAGGTGTGGCAGCTCACACCTGTAATCCCAGCACTTTGGGAGGCCAATGCAGGAGGACCACTTAAGGCCAGGAGTTTGATATCAGCCTAGGCAGCACAGGTTGACCCCATCTCTACAAAAAAAAAGGAAGCCAGGCATGTGCCTGTAGTCCCAGCTACTCAGGACGCTGAGGCAGGAGGATCGCTTGAGCTCAGGAGTTCAAGGCTGCAGTGAGCTATGATCGTGCTACTGCACTCCAGCCTTGGTGGCAGAGATTCTGTCTCTAAACAAACAAAATAAAATAAAATTCCCAAGAATGTATACTTTTATGCCCCAGGTGATTTGGAAGAGGAAGTTTGGATGCAGTGACATTTGAGTATGACATCTTCCTCTTTGAAACAAACAAGCTATCTCCCTCCCCAGAGACACACAGAAACTTTCATTCTACCAGAAAGGCTGCCCTGCCAGTGATGTTTGCACACTAGTATTCAGTGGTGGACTCAGATACTGCAATTATAATCAGAAGGAAACACGTACATTTTTGGCACTGCTGTTGAGATTTTCACAGCCGATGGGCAGCAACGTGCTCAGCTCCAGATCAGTCACCATCTGACGAGATTCTGCCAGCAAGCGCTGCAGCTTACTTGTGGGTGAAAAACTGTCCTGGGAAGATAATACCATGTAAACATGCATGAAATTAAGAAGAGTTTTTAAATATTTATGTTTACAAATACAACGTTACAAACACAAATGTAAACTACCTATTAATATGTCTGTGACTTTAGATATTACAAAACAAAGCAGGACATCAAATAGTAGAATAACAAAATTCCTTTTATTCTTAGATCCTACTCAGTTAAATAATTTGAGTTAAACAGAACTTACTACAACTAATTAAGTAACATCTGTGTGACAAATGAATGCTAGGTATTGGTTAGTTCTCCTAAATCAACTTTTCAAAGCCATATCAGCATGTCAAAATACTTGCAAAATGGAACTCGGACAATAAAGGCTTGTAAACTTTTAGAATTACATGGACATATATCTTAGCTTAATCTTGTCAATTTCCAACTTGAGCATCTGAATTTTTAGATGAAAATGAGTCATTGCCAACTGCCCTCAAAGGGACCTAGAGTAATTTTTTTTTCAAGTTGGAGTCTCACTCTGTCCCCTAGGCTAGAAAGAGCAGTGGCACACTCATGGCCACCTGAGCATTGACCTGCTGGACTCCGGCGATCCTTCTGCCTCAGTCTTCCAAGTAGCCAGAAATACAGGTACGCGCTACCACACTCGGCTAATTTTTTATTTATTGTAGAGACAAAGTCTCGCCAAATTGCACGGGATGGTCTTGAAACCCTGGGCTCAGGCAATCCACTCACCTCAGTCTCTTAAAGTGCTGGGATTACAGACTGAGCCACTGAGCCCAGCCTAGAGTAATTTTTTAAAGAAAAGTTAACTTGGCTGGGCACAGTGGCTCAAACCTGTAATCTCAGCACTTTGGGAGGCTGAGGCAAGAGGATTGCTTAAGCTCAGGGGTTCAAGACCAGCCTGGGCAACTTGGTGAGACCTTGTCTCTACAATAAATCAAAAAATATAAGCTGGGTGTGGTAGCACGTACCTATAGTTACAACTTCTTGGAAGGCTGAGGTGGATGTATCACTTGATACCCAGCAGGCCGGGACTGCGGTGGCCATGAGTGTACCACTGTACTCCAGCCTGGGCAAGAGAGTGAGACTCTGACTTAAAAAAAACAGTTAACTTGTAATTTTTCCTGCTTACTACGGATCTGGCATCTAGAAGATGTTTAAAAACATTTGTCAAATGAATATATATCTGTGTATATATATGGACATCATAGGCTTGCAATATTATGTACTGTCTCAGAAAAAATAGATGCCAACATTGCAAATGGGTCTCCAGGAGCTAAAAAAGGCAATAGTTAATATTTTCTCTCATATTTATAGCCTTGAAAAAATTAACAGCTGCTGGGTACAATGGCTCAAGCCTGTAACCCCAGCACTTTGAGAGGCTGAGGTGAGAGGATTGCCTGAGCCCACGGGCTCATGACCAGCCTGGGCAACATGGCAAGACCTCATCTCTACAATAAATCAAAAAACTAGCCGGGCGTGGTAGCGCGCGCCTGTAGTTCCAGTTACTTGGAAGACTGAAGTGGAAGGATCCCCGGAGCCCAGCAGGTGGACACTGGGGTGGCCGTGAGTGTGCCACTGGTGACAGAGTGAGACTCCAATTCAAAAAAAAAAGAAAAATTAACAGCTTTACTGAGACACAACTGACATAGAAAAACTGTACAATTAAAGTGTACAATCTGATGCATTTCGACACACATACATACCCATAACACCATGGCAACAAAGGATAGCGAGCACATTCGTCACACCCAGGGTCCTTTGAAATTCCTCCCTCTGCCCCTGTGTGTCCCTCCCACATTCCCAGACAGCCACTAATCTGCTATGTATAAGCAGAGGTCAGTCTGTATTTTCTAGAATTTTATACAAATGCATTCAAACTTTGGTATCTTGAACTCAGAGTAATTATCTTGAGATTCGCTTATGTTGCTGTGTGTATAAATAACAGCAACTGGTACAAGCACTTTGTTTTTTGTTTGTTTGTTTGTTTTTGAGTTGAAGTCTCACTCTGTCACCCAGACTGGAGTGCAATGGCCGCTCCCAGCCA